CCTTCCTTCCTTCCTTCCTTCCTTCCTTCCTTCCTTCCTTCCTTCCTTCCTTCCTTCTATCCCTCTCTCCCTCCCTCCCTCCTTTTCCTTCCTGCCTTCCTTCTTTTTACCATCTTCCTTCCCTCCCTCCTTTCCCTTCCTTCCTTCCCTCCTCTCCCTTCCTTCCTTCCTTACCTCCCTCTCACCCTCCCTCTCTCCCTCCTTCCTTCACTCCTTCACTCCTTCCTTCCCTCCCACTCTCCCTCCCTTTCCCTTCCTTCCTTCTCTTCCTTCCTCCCTCCCTCCCTTTCTTTCCCTTCCTTCTCTTCCTCCCTCCCTCCCTTTCTTTCCCTTCCTTTTTCCCTTCCTTTCTTCCCTCCTTCTCTTCCCACCTTCCTCCCTTTCTCCCTTTCTTTCCCTTCCATCCTTCCTTCCTTTCTCTTTCTTTCTCTCTCTCTTTCTCTCTCCTTCCTTCCTTCCTTCCATCCATCCATCCTCTTTCTTTCTTTCTTTCTTTCTTTCCCTTCCTTCTCTTCCTCCCTCCCTCCCTTTCTTTCTTTCTTTCTTTCTCTCTTTCTCTCTCCTTCCTTCCTTCCTTCCTTCCATCCATCCTCTTTCTTTCTTTCTTTCTTTCTTTCTTTCTTTCTTTCTTTCTTTCTTTCTTTCTTTCTTTCCTTCCTTCCTTCCTTCCTTCCTTCCTTCCTTCCTTCCTTCCTTCCTTCCTTCCTTCCTTCCTTTCTCTGGAGGCAAGTTGTCCTCACTGTTAGGGAGTTTCTCCTTAATTCCAGGTTTCTTCTCTCCTTGATTAGTTTCCAACCATTGTTCTTTCTCCTGCCTTCAGGTGCTTTGGAGAATAATTTGACCCTCTCCTCCTCTTTGGGGCAGCCCCTCAAATACTGGAAGACTGCTACCCTGTCAGTCTTAGTCCTTCTCTTCACTAGACTGGCCAGACCCAAATCCTACAATCGTTCTTCATATATTTTAGTCTCCAGGCCTTCGATCATCTTAGTTGCTCTGAACTTTTTCCAAAGTCTCATCATCTTTTTTGTAATGTGGTGACCAAAACTGTTTGCAGTATTCCAGGTGTGCTCTTACTAAGGGTTTTCTAAAACGCCACTAATACTTCACGTGATCTTGATTCTATGCCTCTGTTTTATATGCCCGTTTTGTGCCTCTGTTTTCCTGCTTAACATGTAATTTTTTTTCTGGGGAAATGAGTGAAAACGATTAATCTTCTGGCGTGGCAGTCGGAAGCCAATGCCATCCAAAGAAATCACCACACCAGCTAGAAAAAAACTTGGATCAACTGCCAATAAGACATTTCAGGAGTTGCGTTGTCTGACTATCCTGTGTCGTTGTTGTTTCTTTTAGCTCCGTGGCTCTGTTCCAATGACAACATCGGCTCTGCAGTCTGTGCTACCTGAGGTAAAATCTTTCTACAACAGATCATAACTGGCTTTTTTTCCCCTCTAAGCTCTGGGATAAGATCAGGTGACTGGCATCAGAAGTTTGACTTTTTTGTACAAATATTCCTCGACTTATGATCACAATTGAGCCCAAACTTTCTGCTGCTAAGTGAGTCGGTTGTTAAGTGAGTTTGGCCCCATTTTATGGCTTTTCTTGCCCCAGGGATCGCACGACTCTGGGACACTGTGACCGTCGTAAAGACGAATCAGTTGCCAAGTGTCTGAATTTTGATCACATGATCATGGAGATGCTGCAACGGTCATAAGTGTGGGAAATGGCCATAAGTCACATGTGTTTTGGTTTACAGTTATGGTTTTAATGCTTTTTTAAACTTTTGGTTGGGAGCTGTCCAGAGTTGGTTAGAAAATGGGCATCTATATAAATGTTTTAAATAAATCAATAAATAATGACCAAGAAATGTCTATGGAGATTCTCTATCATCCAGGTTCCTGGTTGTCTCAAAGGTGCTTTTTCCAAAAAGGCAACTGGACTTCCTTGGTTTTTATTTTGAAAATGTTTTGCTTCTCATCCAAGAACTGAAAAAGCTCCTTGGATGAGGGGGGGAAAATGTGTTCAAGGAAAAAATAATACAGTAGTGGCCAAAATTGTGGAAAGCTTTTGGGAAAGTGTATGTTTTTGAGGTTTGATGGCCAATAACATCACTTTCTTTTTTTGGAGTTTCAAGATAATCCTATTCCACTGCTAGAATGGCCTCGGAATAGCCCAGACCTTCACCCAATGGAAAATCTAGGGAGCTGACTCAAGAAACTGGTTAGTCAGAAGCGACCCAGCAATAAAACCCAGTTAATAGAAGCCATCATTCCATCTTGGTTTCCCATTAGAACAGCTGCAGAACTCAAAGACTTGGTTCACTCCATGGGAAGACGTTGTAAGGCCATCATTCATGCTAAAGGTTACCCCCAACTAAGGATTAACTGACATGGGGATCATTTTTGTACATCTCGTTTTTTCTACGTGTTTCACTTTCCTTCTTTATACTGTAACTGCTATTCTCATAGCAAATCCTTCATAAAAGTTATTGCATTGCATTCTTAACTAAATTATCTTTCCATTGATATATAACTTTATGGTACTACTCCAAAAAAAAAGTGGTGTTATTACTATTAGCTAGTTTTAGAAAGTACACTTTTCCCAAAATGTTTCCACAATTTTGGCCACTACTGTATGCCAAGAAAATCCAGTTGCCCTTTGTAGGGGGGGTGGGAAGCATCTTTGGGATAATGGCCGGGGAAGCTTTCTGCCCCTCCTGATGGGTCCTAACCATTCCTTCTGTCTGATTGTCCACAGTTGTCTCAACTTGGGACCGAAGATCTACCCTTGGTGGTCAAGATTAGAGTCCGTGGCCTTCCAGTGGTGTCTTTGCAAAATGGGAAAGTCAAGATCCTGTTGGATGCTGGCCTCCAAGTGCTCTCCCAGTCAAACTCTAGTCTCACCCCGCTCTTTACCGTGAACACAGTGAGTAAGAAGAGAAGCAACAGGTTCCTGACGCTGGTTGGGTGATCCTTGACATGGAAGGGCCACCAGACGAATTTGCAAGTCTCAACCCCTGAGACTCCTGTTTCTAATCTCTCAGTTTCCTTGTCTCTAATTACTAGCAGCTTTAATTCGGTTTATCCCTGATAAAGAGTAGCTGTTGCAGCCAGCGGGTCTTTGCAGCTTCTAAACCCTGCCACCTTATCAGAAGTAGGTCTTCTGCTCCTTGGCAAGCTCTGTCCAAGCACAATGGGGCTTTCATGGACTGCCAGCATGGGGGGCCCTACTCAGGTGTTCCATCTCCAAGAGAAACCATTCATCGAGCAGCACAAGATGTGATTTTCTCTATTACTCAAATGGCTTCCTTCCTGTTGAGTTGGGTTATGGACGGTAGAGAAATGAATCTTTCTACTCTCTGAGTAGCTAACGTTGGGGAGTTAGTGGGCTGGGTAGTTAGGCACTAATTGAGTAGATATTGGAAGGGATCACCAAATACAAAGGGGTAAGCCAAGCTCTCTGAATAAGAGCACAGGATCTACAAAAGGCAGACAGTGGCAGTAGTAAGTTGTAGGGACAAGGAAGTTGTAAGGGAGAGAGACAGTTTGGTCTACTGGTTAAGGCACCAGGCTAGAAAGAAGGAGACTGTGAGTTCTAGTCCTGCCTTAGGCATGAAAGTCGGTTGGTGAATTTGGATCAATCACCAGGAGACGGTGAGTTCTAGTCCTGCCTTAGGCACGAAACCCAGCTAGGTGACTTTGGGCCAGTCACCAGGAGACGGTGAGTTCTAGTCCCCTTTTAGACACAAAAGTCAGCTGGATTTTTATTCTTAGCATGATCTTGTCAATGACAAATTAAATATTCAGGAGGTGTGGCTTTTACATTTTAACAAGTTTACAATTGATTAAACTTCAGCGTCCTTCTCTAGCAAGACTGAGCTGGATCTTATCAGAATTTCACATTCTTGAATGTTGCTTCAAAGAAACTAGAAACATTAATCAAAAGTGCTCCTTGTTGCTAAAGACATTACTCAGAGAGTAATTACCTTTCTCCTCCTGTAATCAAAACCTGGAGCTAATAGAGAGCCATCCGGAGTAAGAGCTACTATCAGCCTTATCCTCTATGATGTTAGTTACTACTAGGGACCAAAGTCATGCAGATGATGTTATGATTACAGGGAATCCACCTGAGTGGAAGCTTCAGTGTTACACGAACCACGCTGGGCATCTCTCTGGCCTTAGAAAGGTAAGCAAACTCCAAATCACCTATGGGATCATTCTTAGACCTTTGGACTAACAGGGCCTCTTATTTATAGATGTGTGTTGCTCATTTGAGGATGGTGTGCCCTTCATCCCAATTCAGAACAACAGAAGTTGGAAGGGACCTTGGAGGTCTTCTAGTCTAACCCTCCACTCAGGCAGGAGATCCTATTACCATTTCAGATAAATGGTTGTCCAATCTCTTCTTAAAAACCTCCAGTGTTGGAGCACCTACAACTTATTCAGCTTGGATAGGAGAATTTCCAACTGGTAGTGCCCTCCTCCTAGCATTGCCATCCTGGAGAGATACCTGATCTTGCTTCTTAACCACCTTGGAGTAAATTGAGAAGATCCACAAGCTAGTTAGGGAAATGGAGGGCGAAACATATGAAGAACGATTGCAGCAATCGGAGATGTCTATAAGGAAAATAAGAACTAGGGATGACATGATAACATCTTCCAATATTTGAGGGGCTGCCATCCAGTTTTGGTCCCCACACTATAAAAAAGATGTGGAGACTCTAGAAAAAGTGCAGAGAAGAGCAACCAGGATGATTAGGGGACTGGAGGCTCAAACATATGAAGAACGGTTGCAGGAACTGAGCCTGGCTAGTCTAGGGAAGAGAAGGAGCAGGGGAGACAGGATAGCAGTCTTCCAATATCTGAGAGGCTGCTACAGAGAGGAGGGGGTCAAGCTATTTTCCAAAGGCACCTGAAGGCCAGACAAGGAACAATGGATGGAAACTGACCAAGGAGAGATTCAACCTAGAAATAAGGAGAATTTTTCTGACAGTGAGAACAATCAACCCATGGAAGAGAAGTTGCCTTCAGAAGTTGTGGGAGCTTCAGCACTGGAGGCTTTCAAGAAGAGACTGGACTGCCATCTGTCAGAAATGGTGTAGAATCTCCTGGTTGGGGAAGGGGGGTTGGACTAGATGACCTACAAGGTCCCTTCCAATTCTGTTAATCTGCCACAAAGAAGGGGGGGGAGGGAAATGATGAACCTATTTTCCAAAGAAGGCCTGGAGTCCACAAGTCTTAAATTTGCCAAGTTTGGAGATCCCTGACCTGGATATAGCAGACAGCAGAGTCCTGAAATGTTCTGGTCAGATGCTTCTGACCACCATACTGGACCTCTGTGGCCTGTTCAGACATATCAGATGTTTCTACAAATGTCTTCATTTTCGTATTTCTTTTCACAGCGTCTCACTCAGTGTCTCCGGCGTGGGCTCCTTTGATGTAAGTCTGTCTCCCGTAATGCATTTGCAACACATGGAAAAGATATAATTTCATTGATCAGGTGAATTAGAAATAGCTGAGTGGATGATTCAGGCTCTTATTAGAGAGAGTGAGTTCGAGTCCAGCCTTAGGCCATGAAGGCCAGGTGGGTGTCTTTGGGCCAGTCCCTCCTTCTCAGCCCAACCCGCCTCGCAAGATTGTTGTTCTGGAAAAAATAGGATGAGGAAAGTGTGTTTGTGCCTTGAGTTATTTATAAAGTAATAAAGACAGAATATAAAATAAGTCACTTTTTTCAGTGCTGCTGTGACTTCGAACAGTCGCTCATTGAATGGTCGTAAGTCGAGGACTCCCTCTATGTGAATAAATAAGTTTCCCTTCAGGGAATCAGACCATTTCATTAGCTAATTATGACTTTCCAGGATCTCCAGAGATGGGGCAGCTCTCTATGGGGGTTTTGTTTTATTTTATTTTATTTTATTTTATTTTATTTTATTTTATTTTATTTAAATTTGATTTATATGCCGCCCTTCTCCGAAGACTCAGGGCGGCTTACAATGCGTTAAGCAATAGCCTTCATCCTTTTGTATATTTATACAAAGTCAGCTTATTGCCCCCACAAACTGGGTCCTCATTTTACCTACCTTAGAAAGGATGGAAGGCTGAGTCAACCTTGAGCCTTGGTGAGATTCGAACCCTGCAGTAATTGCAGGCAGCTGGTCTTAATAACCAGCTTAATAACAGGGTGCCTTAGACCATTGTACTACCCAGGCTCTTTTATTTTATTTTATTATTTTATTTTATATATTCTATTCTATTCTATTATTTTTTGTTCTATTTTATTTTATTATTCTATTCTACTCTAAGTCATATTTTATTTCATGTGTACATGCATTAAATGTATTGGCTGTCCATCCTGCCACGGGGTAACTCTGTGCCACTTACAATATTAAAAAGATAAAACTATGCAAATAAAATGCTACAAAAATACAACACCCAGCTCTATATGTGGGTCAGCAGCTAAAACCTTGAAATGCAGCACGTGTGCCACTAATTGCAAAATCCTGTTGCAAAGGATAGGAATCATTCTTTCTCACCTTTAAATTGGTTTTTTTTTTGCAGGAAAATGCCCTGAAGAACTGGATCACAAACATCCTTCAGATCGGATACCTGCCTCTGATGAACGGTAGGGTCTCCTGGTTGCTGTTACTGTAGAGAAGCCGAATTGCATTGCGACAAAGTTTGTGTCTTGAGGAGGGGCCTTTGTCAGGGAAGGGGCCACATGCGGGATGCATTTTATACAGCAGTGGCATTGTGCAAATGACACATATGAAGGGATTTGCAAAAAGTACAGTACGTGACCTCATGTTCGCTTTGAACAAACACCTGTGATTTGGACCTAATTCTGTGGTTTCATTGCTTTTCTTTAGTTGGCCTGAACTTCGGAATTCCACTCCCGAATATTTTCAACCTGAACTTTGCCGATGGCGTGGTGAAAACCCTGGATGTAAGAGCCTGATTGTCTATTTCCTAAACAAAACATTCCTTCAAAGCTGCTGGCCATTGCATTCAAGAAATGAGTCATCAGTTGCTGAGAACTCTGAAGGGAGAAATGCAACATTTTTACCTTCACATCCAAGAGGAAACTTACCTTCGCTTTACAACGTCCTGGATTTAGATGTTGCAAGGAAGGAAGGAAGGAAGGAAGGAAGGAAGAAAGGAAGGAAGGAAGGAAGGAAGGAAGGAAGGAAAAGGTGGGAGGGAGGGAAGGAGGGAAGGAAGGAAGATGGTAAAAAGAAGGGAGGAAGGGACAGAGGGAAAGAAGGAAGGAAGGAAGGAAGATGGATGGCTGAAGGAAGGAAGATGGATGGTAAAAGAAGGAAAGAAGGGAACAGGGAGGGAGGGAAGGAAGGAAGGAAGGAAAGGAAAGGAGGGAGGGAGGGAAGGAAGGAAGAAGGATGGTAAAAAGAAGGAAGGAAGGAAGGGAAAGGAGGAAGGAAGGGAAAGGAGGGAGAGAGGGAAGGAGGGAAAGAAGGAAGGAAGGAAGATGGATGGTAAAAGAAGGAAAGAAGGGAAAGCAGGGAGGGAGGGAAGGAAGGAAGGAAGAGAAAGGAGGGAGGGGAGGAAGGAAGATGGATGGTAAAAAGAAGGAAGGAAGGAAGAGAAAGGAAGAAGGAAGGAAGGAAAGGAAAAGAGGGAGGGAGGGAAGGCGGGAAAGAAGGAAGGAAGCAAGGAAGATGGATGGTAAAAGAAGGAAGGAAGGGAAAGCAGGGAAGGAGGGAGGGAAGGAAGGAAGGGAAAGGAGAGAGGTAGGGGAGGAAGGAGGAAAGATGGATGGTATAAAGAAGGAAGGAAGGAAGGAAAATTGATGGTGAAAGGAAAGAAGGAAGGAAGGAAGGAAAGGCAGGGAGAGAGAGAAAGAAAGAAAGAAAGAAAGAAAGAAAGAAAGAAAGAAAGAAAGAAAGAAAGAAAGAAAGAAAGAAAGAAAGAGTATTATTTGACTCAGATCGAGGCCGAAGCCAGCCAGACTTCTCTTCACCCTATTCTAGAAGGAAGTCATAGAGGTGGACAATAGGATTCCCCTACTTGAAGTCCTGGAGACGACAATAATCCCACGAAAGTTGCCCTCATAGCTAGTCGCCATTGCCCTCCATGAATCTGTAGTTGAGACCCCTTTGTCTGGCTGACCGTTTTTGAGTGCCCCTCTTTTCTGCTTTCCAGGAGATGGTGGTGATCAATAAGGCCTCTAAATAAGACCCCGAAGGAAGAAGACTCCACGGCAGAAGAATGAGCCCCCTTCCCTCGAGCCCTTCTCCATCCTCGAAGCGAGTGAATCTCAGCCCAGCCTCACTTTCCCCTCAGTTGCTTCAGCCCAATTGAGATTCCACTTTCCTTTGTCCGCCATGGACAACCTTATTACCTAACATTGTAGAGATCTACCATCCTCTCTGAGAATTCATGACTTGCTTGCCCAATAAAGGTGTTTACAATATATATGCCTGCCTGGGGTTTCCTCTCTCATACCAAGTCCTTTAAATAGGGGGCTAAAACACACAATGAACGGTTGCAGGAAGTGGGCCTGGCTAGGCTAGTGAAGAGAAGGACCAGGGGAGACAGGATAAAATCTTCCAATATTTGAGGGGCTGCCATCCAGTTTTGGTCCCCACACTATAAAAAAGAGGTTGAGACTCTGGAAAGAGTGCAGAGAAGAGCAACCAAGAGGATGAGGGCACTGGAGGCTAAAACATATGATGAACGGTTGCAGGAAGTGGGCCTGGTTAGTCTAGTAAAGAGAAGGACCAGGGGAGACAGGAGAGCAGCCTTCCAATATTTGAGGGGCTGCCACAGAGAGGAGGAAGGGGGTCAAGCTATTCTCCAAAGCAATCAAAGGCCAGACAAGGAATAATGGATGGAAACTGGCCAAGGAGAGATTCAACCTGGAAATAAGGAGAAAATTTCTGACAGGGAGAACCATCAACCCATGGAACAGACGTTGCCTTCAGAAGTTGTGGGAGCTTCATCACTGGAGGCTTTCAAGAAGAGACTGGACTGCCATCGGTCAGCAATAGTGTAAGGTCTCCTGCTTGGGTGGGGGGGGTTGGACTAGATGACCTACAAGGTCCCTTCCAACTCTGTCATTCTGTAAAAAAGATGTGGAGACTCTAGAAAAAGTGCAGAGAAGAGCAACCAGGATGATGAGTGGACTGGAGGCTGAAACATATGATGAACGGTTGCAGGAACTGGGCCTGGCTAGTCTAGTGAAGAGAAGGACCAGGGGAGACAGGAGAGCATCTTCTAATATCTCAGGGGCTGCCACAGAGAGGAGGAAGGGAGTCAAGCTATTCTCCAAGGCACCCGAAGGCCAGGCAGTAGTTAACAGTAAGAGCAAACTGCACTCCCTTCTAGCACTGATCATGTTACCTAGCTGGATAATGAAATGTCTCTCCCATCACCACCACCAAAAAAACCCTCCCAAGCTCAGAGGGCACCAAGGACCTCATGGGCCCTCTATGCCATGACTCTGCCACCTGTAAGCTTGCACCTGGCTTAGTCGTGTGGACGGAACAGGTGTGCGAGGCGAGCATCATGGAATAGCCAACCCTTCTTTAAGGGGGAAGGGGATGATGGCTATCTTGAAAGGCGTCGTGATGGCAAGAAGTTCCATTTGGATTCCTGCCTAAATTTTAAGACTTTCAGGCTCAGAACTGAGGCCAATATCGCTGATTACTCCCCCGGTGTTATACACAGAGTCCTCTACTTATAGCGGTTCATTTAGGGACTGTTTGAAGTTACAACAGCAAATGAAAAAAATGACTTCTGTCCAGTTTTCACACGACCGTTGCTGCCTCCCCATGGTTATGTGATCAAAACTCATATACTTGGCAACCGATTCATATTTATGACGGTTGCCATGTCCTGGGGTTACACGATCCCCTTTTGCGACCTTCATAAAAGCAAAGTGCCCGGGGAAGCCGTATTCAACAACTGTCCGAACCATTCAGTGATTCACTTAAGAACTGTGGCTAGAAAAGTTGTAAAAGAAGTCAAAACTCACTCAACAGCTGTCTCACTTAGCAACATAAATTTTTGGGGGTCAGTTGTGGTCGTGAGTCGAGGATTACCTCAACCTAATGCGATTTTACGGGAAAGAGATTACATGTTTTTCTGGGTTGAATCTGGAAAGTGAGCTAATGAGCTTCGAGATTGCGTTTGGCTTTAATCCCCCTTCTTATGCAAAGACGGAAGCGTTCAGAAGTTTTATCTCGCCCGAGGTCTTAACTGTTCAGTTTAGAAGGACAAAGATGCCTTTTGTGGCACGGAAAGAGCTGAATGAGAAGCTGACATGAATCCCAACAGTCTAGCATCTCTTGGAGAAACCCAAAGGTGTCAAAAATCAGCCCTCCATTAACTCAGTATCAAGTGGGAGGGCCACCACGCATTTCTCAAAATAATGCTCACATTAAGCGACAGGAAATCTGGGCTAAATCAGACTTTGTGGTGCCTAGAATGGACCGCCCTGTCTAGAGAAAGCTTTGATTGACTTCAAATCAAGACCATATTTTGAAATCCTGGGCTGGCTCCCAAGGCACCTCAGTCGATCAGTGGAACAGAAGTTGCCTCCAGAAGTTCTGGGTGCTCCATCACTGGAGGTTTTTAAGAAGAGAATGGAGAGCTGTTTGTCCGGAATGGTATAGGACAGTGATGGCTAACCTTTTTGCCATCACGTGCCAGGAATGGCGGGGTGGGGGGCGGGAGAGGTTCACATGCATGCGTACCCACACCCATAATTCTATGCACCCCGCCCCACGCATGCGAAACCCCCTCCACTCCACTCCTAGCACGTGATGGCCCGGTAGGCCTGTTTTTCTTTCTCATCTGGCTCCAGATCCTCTCTATGCATCTGGGGAGGGCGAAAACAGCCTTCCCCACTCCCTCAGAGGCCCACCGGAGGCCCAAAAGAGCCCGTTTCCCAACTTCTGGTTGGACAGGAAGTGACCTTTTTGCTGTCCCCAGCCTCCAGAGATTCGGATGCATGAACGCTGGAGCTGAGCTGGTATGCCAGGTGACATGGCACTGCGTGCCGCCTGTGGCACGCGTGCCATAGGTTCACCATCATGGGTATAGGATCTTTTACTCGAGAAGCGGCTTGAACTAGAAGACCTTCAAGGTCCCTTCAGAATAACACTGTTTTGTTTTGTTTTGTTTTGTTTGATTTATATGCCGCCCTTCTCCGGAGACTCAGGGCGGCTTACAGTGCGTTAAGCAATAGCCTTCATCCTTTTCTATATTTATACAAAGTCAGCTTATTGCCCCCACAATCCAGGTCCTCAATTTACCTACCTTAGAAAGGATGGAAGGCTGAGTCAACCTTGAGCCTGGCCAGATTCGAACCTGCAGTAATTGCAGACAGCTGGAGTTAAATTACAATGCATTAGACTGCTGAGCTATCCAGGCTTCTGGTTATTCTGTAATAACCAGAAATGGACACAGTATTATACATATGAAAAATGGTTAGAGGAATTGGGTATGCTTCGTCTAGTGAAGAGAAGGACCAGGGGAGGGAACAATGATAGCATTGTTCCAATATTTGAGGCATTCCTACAAAGGTGAGAGGGTCAAACTATTTTCCAAAGCACCAAAAAGGCAAGATGCGAAACAATGGATGGAAACTAACCAAGGAGAAAAGCAACCCTGAATTAAGGACAAATTTCCTAATGGTGAGAGCCATCCACCAATGGAAGAGCTTCCCTTCGGAGATTGTGGGTGCTCCATCACGGGAGGCTTTCAAAACGAGAGTGGACAATCATTTATCAGAAATGATACAGGATCTCCTGGTCAAGCAGGGGATTGAATTTGAAGACCTCCAAGGTTTCACCTATTTATTTATTTATTTATTTATTTATTTATTTATTTATTTTATCGGTCTTATATGCCACCCTTTCTCCACAAGGACTCAGCGCGGCTCACAGCAACGACAAGTCCAAATTAAAATTCAAACAATAAAAGAATCTAGAATTCCCATTAAAACCCCATTCAGTCCAGGCCAGCCTGGCGAAACAACCATGTTTTAAGGTCACGGCGGAAAGAGCGAAGGTCGGGGGTCACCCGGAGCTCCAAGCGGAGCTGATTCCAGAGGGTAGGTGCGCCTACAGAGAAGGTTCGCTCTTTAGGGGCCGTCAGCCGACATTGCTTGCCCGACGGAACCCCAAGTAGGCCCTCTCTGTGTGAAAAAAAAAGCAGTACTAGAACTTCACATGACCTTGATTTTATCCCTCTGTTGTTGCAGTTTAGGATTGCATTGGCCTTTTTGGCAGCTGCAACACACACCTGGCTCATATTTAAGGGATTGTACACTAGGACTCCTACATACTGTAGACAGATAGATGATAAAGAAAGAGAGAGAATGAGAGACCGAGATACCACTCTATAAAGCCTTAGTAAAGCCACACCTAGAGTACTGCATCCAGTTTTGGTCACCACACTATACATAAAGATGTTGTGACTCTAGAAAGAGTGCAGAGAAGAGCAACCAGGATGATGGGGGAACTAGAGGCTAAAAGATATGAAGAACGGTTGCAGGAACTGGGCCTGGCTAGTCTAGTGAAGAGAAGGACCAGGGGAGACAGGAGAGCATCTTCCAAGATTTGAGGGGCTGCCACAGAGAAGAGGAAGGGGGTCAAGCTGTTTTCCAAAGCTCCTGAAGGGCAGACAAGGAATAATGGATGGAAACTGACCAAGGAGAGATTCAACCTAGGAATAAGGAGAGATTTTCTGACAGTGAGAACAATCAACCGATGGACCAGAAGTTGCCTTCAGAAGTTGTGGGAGCTTCATCACTGGAGGCTTTCAAGAAGAGACTGGACTACCATTGGTCAGAAATGGTGTAGGGTCTCCTGTTTGAGTGGAGGGTTGGACTAGATGACCTACAAGGTCCCTTCCAACTCTGTTAATCTGTATCTTCCAAATTTTTGTAAGTGTGAAAAAAACAACACTTCCCTCCCTCCTGTTAGAGCAGTGTTTCTCAACCTTGGTAGCTTGAAGATGGGTGGACTTCAACTCCCAGAATCCCCCAGCCAGCGTTGCTGGCTGGGGGATTCTGGGAGTTGAAATCCACCCATCTTCAAGCTACCAAGGTTGAGAAATACTGCGTTAGAGACAATGGATCTCTGATTGTGGAACTGGCTTGGGCATTTGATCCCTCTGGCTTAACACCCCGTTCCAGAATTACAACTCATTACAAAGACTGGGAAATCAGATAAAAAGAGAAGACTGAGCCCATTATCAACATATCCCTGGCACCCAATCCATGACCACCCACACTGCCTGCCATTGATATAAATGATGGTGCCACTTCTATAGTTCTAGAACCTGGAGAAGGAGGAGGAGGAGGAGGTGAGGTGGCTACGAACAGCCTAAACTGAGCAGACTGAAAATTAGCAGGTCGAAAGCCAAGATTCTCCAATCGCAATTAGCCTGAGAAGTAAAAACCCAGGTAAAAGAGAGTAAGGTGGCTGGCTGGATGAAGTTCTTTGGCTTTATTTCTTTGATTTATTAATTAAATTTTTCTACTGCCCATCTCCTTGATAAGTTGATTTTGAGCAGCTCACAGATCAATCAATCAGAATAGAGCTGGAAGGGACCTCGGAGGTCTTCTAGTCCAACCCCCTGTTCAAGCAGGAGAACCTGTACCATTACAGACAAGAGGCTGTCCGTAAATCCCATCATAAAAAGATGAAGAGAAAAAGAGTAGAAAATTTTAAACTATGTAAGTTGAAACATTTTTAAACTATGCAGAAAACCAGGAACCCAGAGATGGACAGTAACAGATTTAACAGATTAACAGAGTTGGGAGGGACCTTGGAGGTCATCTAGGTACAATTTTAATAATTTTAATATTTTTAATACTCAAAGTTTAACTTTGTTTTAAATTGATTGGGGTTTTAATTTTAATTTTAATTTGTCTGGGCCAAACTATTTAATTCAATTTTATTTCTGTTTTTTAAATTTTGTATATATGTATTTTATTGTTGGCTGTTCACCGCCCTGAGTCCTTCGGGAGTAGGGCGGTATATAAATCAAATAAAAGTAAAAGTAAAAGTAAAGTAAAGTAGGTAGGAGACTCCACACCATTTCTGACAAACAGATGAGGTCTTTTTACCCTGTCAATCACCGCTTCATCAAACTTTCCCAAATTATAATTTCGAATAGGAACGAGAGAAATCCTAATAACACAGTGTATTTTGCTCAGGGATCATCCGGAACCCAGAGTTCAGAATTACAGACTAACAGAGTTGGAAGGGACTTTGGAGGTCTTCTAGTCCAACCCCCTGCTCAGACAGGAGACCCTATGCCATTCTGGACAAACGACTCTCCTGTCTCTTCTTGAAAACCTCCAGTGTTGAATGGAGGTTGAATGGAATCCAGGGTTGAATTCCAACTTCTGGAATTCAACCCTAAGCAACAAATATTCTATTGGTAGAATGTACGTGAATTCCAAATTCAAGTCGCAACCAATCATTTGTGGGTTTTGTCCTTAACTTGCATTTTTTTGGCAGGGGATGCAAATGCCCCAGACATGTTAGAACAAGACTAGTTGGGTCAATGGACCCCAGATTGATGCCGTCAGGATCTCTGAGGATTAATGTCTGAAGAGTGTGCCAGTTGACTCTTCTTTTTGTTCAGGATTGATTAATTTTAGGAGTTGATACAGTCCTTCTAACAATCTTTTCTCCTTTTCTCAATTCCCACTGAGAAAGTATACGGTACCAAAAGGTTGATCTACTAGCAATTGTAACTCAGTTTCAGGAAAAGGTTCTTAACGGAGGTACAAAAAATTATCAGAGGACTTTTCACCAGTGGATCTGATGTTCTTGGCCACAGCAGTGAGGTGGCCAAGGAGTGCTCAGGTGATCGACTGTCCTATCTTTCAATGCACAATTTGTTATGTGTCTATGGAGGTTCTCCATCATCCAAGACATGGTTGTCCCAAAGGTGCTTTTCCAAAAGGCAACTAGACTTTCTTGGGGTTTTTTTTTTTCTTCTTGAAAACTCTTCACTTCTCATCCAAGAACCTCCTTCAGTTTTGAAGTTCTTCAGTTCTTGGATGAGAAGTGAAAAGTTTTCAAGGAAAAACAAAAACAAGGAAGTCCACTTGCCTTATGGAAAAACCACCTTTGGGGATAATTTGCTATGGTTTGCCACCTCTGGAGACTTCCGGTCTTCCATTCAATCCCCAGGGAAGATCTCAAGAAGAAGTTCTCCTGGTGGCCTTTTTCAGAAACATCTTTTTTTTTTGCTGGAGCTCCTCAAAATTGGTCGGCCAAGTTCCCCTTCAGAGAAATCTTCCACTCAGTTTCTCTCCCCGCTAATTAGATGGAGAGAAATTTTGAGAGGACGTCTGTACTCAGCTCCAGTTGCATCTCAGCAGGTCCTACTTGACCAAAGATGTTAGCGGCCTGGGGCGTCCTCGTGGTCTGTGCTTTGCTGACTCCCTCCCAAAGTCAACTCCTTCCAACCGACGCGGTCATCCGAGTCAACCAAGGCGTCTTGCATAATGGTAAGTCCGAGAGAGCAAGCAAGGAACAAGGAGTTCCTTGTTCAAATAAGTCTATTTATGGGGCGGAGGCGGGGTGGGGGCTCAGCTCTAGAAATGACCTCCTCAGGCAAATGAAAGAGAAAAGATGTTGACCTGGTGTTCATTAGATGCATGGCTGCTTCCATAATTTAACTCCAGCTAAACTAAATTAGGACCTTTGGTAGTAGATCCTCCTCTTTGGGGAGTACACTACCCCTAGAGATGCACATGGTCTTCAGTGTTCTGACATTCCAGAAGACACTTAAGTCTATAAGGGGTCCCTGGTGCTCTCTGAGCTTGGCTGTTTTCTTGTAGATGTTTTATGACCCAACATCAATGCTAGGAGGGAGTGAGATTTGTGGAGAGGAAGAGGAGGAGGAGGAAGAGGAGGAGGATTGTGGGGCCCTTGGTGCTCTCTGAGCTGGGCTCTGTCAAGGTTCTGACGGATGCTCTAATTAAATCATGAGCCTCGAGCCAAGCTTCAAAAGAAATCCAGTTATTTATTAGGAGTTTCATGTCGGCATGTTCAAAAATGAAGACAACTCTGAACCCACATAATTTACGGCCCCAATCATGACCCTGTTTTCCCCCTCCCCCCAGGGTGTGTCACCAATCACATTCACCAACGGAGCAATTTTGCAGGTTGTAGAGATCACTCCCCTCCGGCCGGTGTGAGTAACCCTGGGAGACAGCCCTGAGAAAGATATGTCTGGAATGTGCTCCTGTCTTTGGCTGCCATGGTGTTTCGATGGTTTCCCATCCCCCTCGCCTATGGCAACTGGAGTGCAGACTAGGGATGCTTTGCAAGTTGACAGGCTGTTTTCTTGCAGACATTTCATGACCCAACTAGGTAACATCATCAGTGCAAACCCTCCTCCCTTCTAGTACTGACGATGTTTCTTAGTTGGGTCATGAAACGTCTGCAAGGTAAAACCACCAACTCAGGGAGCACCAAGGACCCATCATTTCAACCCTGAGCTACAGATATGTTACTTTATTGGTATGTAAGACTATCTTTCTTCAGGATTGCTAAGGGATGGAGATCTGAGTGGACATCCACCACTGTTTAGCAACTGCCTCCTATGATTTTAATTGTTTCCTGTACTTGTCTATTGCTCAAGGTCTGGACTAAGACAAACCAGAACTATGCCAAAACAAATTCAAAGGAATTAAATTAAAATTAATAAATTAAAATCATCTCCCTACAACATGAGCAAGAAACACAAGTGTTTCCGACATTCCAGAAGACACTTAAAAAATATCTTTCTTCAGGAATGATCAGGCTTTGAGTGGACGTCCAGTTTTTAATGTTCCCATGATTTTAATTGGTTCCTAGACTTGCCTACTGGCTCAGGAACTGAGTAACTGGGACAAACCATAAATATGCTAAAATAAAATTGCTCCAGAAGACTGTCTTTCTTCCAAGATTGTCAGGGATCAGGGGTGAAATCCAGCAGGTTCTGACAGGTTCTGGAGAACCGGTAGTGGAAATTTTGAGTAGTTCAGAGAACCGGCAAATACCATCTCTGGCTGGCCCCAGAGTGGGGTGGGAATGGAGATTTTGCAATATCCTTCCCCCAGGAGTAGAGAGGGAATGGGGATTTTGCAGTATCCTTCCCCTGAAGTGGGGAGGGAATGGAGATTTTGCAGTATCCTTCCCCTGCCACGTCCACCAAGCCACGCCTACCAAGCCACGCCCACAGAACCGGTAGTAAAAAAATTTGGATTTCACCACTGTCAGGGATGGTGATTTTGAATGGACATCCAGCTTTTTCACATTTTTTATGGTTTCTCTTATTTGTTTACCTCCCACCACCAAACACTGGATGCTCAACTGCATCAAATCGTTGTTCCATCTGGTACTGTCTACTCTGCTTTTTCTAACACCCATTGATGCAAGCTGGTGGACTATCAATGGTCTTCAGGAGTAGAGAAGGTCCCTATTTTTTTTTTTTTTTAATTTGATTTATATGCCGCCCTTCTCCGGAGACTCAGGGCGGCTTATTTGGAAATGCTGGGGGTTGAACCTGAGATCTTTGCATGTAAAGCAAGTGCTCAACCTCAAAGTCACTCTGGTAGGACCTTCCAAGGCTGTTCTGCCCCAGCTCTGGATTCCCGAGGATATTGACACACACCAACGGTCCTTATCAAATTTATTAAGTAGCAAGAATAAACCAAAATCCGGCAAAGGTTGGCAACCAGCCCAGAAAACAAGATACGATAAGACTTTTCCAAAAATGCTCTGATGGTAATTACAAGTTGTTTCCAGCAAGAAACTTACTAACGGCGTGTGATTTAAATAGGCTAAGGGAGTGGCCAATTATCCTCAAGCCTTACTCTCGAGGAGACCTCCTCCTCCTGAGTAGCCACTCCTGCCTTTTGGCAGCCCTGAGTGCTCGAGCATTGAGAAGAGGCTCCTCCACTTCACTCTCTCAACTTGAAGGAGCCTCTGGAGGTTCTGAAGGCCCTGGCTGAGTCTCGGCCTCTGGCACCACATCCTCTTCGGCCTCCTCGCTGTCCGACGCGAGCGCTGGCTGCGCCGGCTGCTGGTGCAACACCACACCAGCCTCCTCGTTGTCGGGATCAGCCACGATCCGTGCATGCCGCTGGTGGGCCACAACAAAGGGTTCCATCCAAGAGAGGAAAGCGATGGATAGCGATGGAAGGTGTTCCACTGCTCTTGAAATAAAAACTAGGCCTTATTTACAAAAATGTGGAACTTGCTAATCCCCAAAGAGCCAAATAGGAACAGGAGGGAGGTTGTCTTGTCCATCCCTGTTGTTATGTACAACCTCCTTGTTCTTTTGTTTTCCAGCTGTCAGCAACTCGATGGCCCAAAGCAACGCCCTTCAAGGCGCCATGAGAGAAGTGCCCCTTGGCAATGGAGGTGGTGGAGACGGTGGTCTGCTAGGAGGCCTCCTGGGGGGCAGCGGGGGTGGAGGCCTTCTGGGAGGCTTACTCGGAGGAGGAGGAGGTGGTGGAGGAGGAGGTCTTCTCGGAGGTGTGCTTGGTGGTGGTGGAGGAGGGGGACTTCTTGGAGGTCTGCTTGGTGGTGGAGGACTTCTTGGAGGTCTGCTTGGTGGTGGTGGTGGAGGAGGAGGAGGTGGTGGTGGAGGAGGAGGACTTCTTGGAGGTGTGCTTGGTGGTGGTGGAAGAGGAGGAGGTGGAGGAAGAGATGGATTTCCTGGAGGTGTGTTTGGTGGTGGTGGAGGAGAAGGAGGTGGTGGAGGAGGAGGAGGACTTCGTGGAGGTGTGCTTGGTGGTGGTAGAAGAGGAGGAGGTGGTGGAGGACTTCTTGGAAGTGTGCTTGGTGCTGGAGGAGAAGAAGGAGGTAGAAGAGGAGATGGACTTCCTGGAGGTGTGCTTGGTGGCGCTGGAGGAGAAGGAGGTGGAGGAGGACTTCTTGGTGGTGTGCTTGGTGGTGGTGGTGCAGGAGGAGGTGGTGGAGGACTTCTTGGAGGTGTGCTTGGTGGTGGTGGAAGAGGAGGAGGTGGAGGACGAGGTATGCTTGATGGTGGAGGAGGAGAAGGAGGTGGTGGTGGAGAAGGACTTCTTGGAGGTGTGCTTGGTGGTGGTGGTGGTGGAGGAGGAGGTGGTGGAGGACTTCTTGGAGGTGTGCTTGGTGGGGGTGGAAGAGGAGGAGGTGGAGGATGGGGGATGCTTGGTGGGGGAGGAGGAGAAGGAGGTGGTGGTGGAGAAGGACTTCTTGGAGGTGTGCTTGGTGGTGGCAGAGGAGAAGGAGGTGGTGGACTTCTTGGAGGTGTGCTTGGTGGTGGAGGAAGAGAAGGAGGTGGTGGTGGAGAAGGACTTCTTGGAGGTGTGCTTGGTGGTGGCAGAGGAGAAGGAGGTGGTGGACTTCTTGGAGGTGTGCTTGGTGGTGGAGGAAGAGAAGGAGGTAGTGGTGGAAGAAGGCTTTCTAGAAGTGTGCTTGGTGATGGCAGAGGAAGAGGAGGTGGAAGAGGAGAAGGACTTCCTGGAGATGTGCTTGGTGGTGGTGGAGCAGGAGAAAGGGTACCTCTTGGTGGGATCCCTGGAGGCATGTTTAGAGGGAGGAGCGTCAATGCTGCTGTGGGTGGCAATGGTGGAGGTCCAGGTGCTGGAGGTCTGCTGGGCCAAGGAGGCTTGCTGGGTGATGGAGGTCTGCTTGGCACTGCAGGAATTCTTGGTGGCGGTGGGGGCCTCCTCGGCAATGGAGGCCTGCTGGGCAACGGAGGCCTACTTGGTGGAGGTGGAGTCCTTGGCATCCTTGGGGAAGGAGGTATTCTCAGCACAGTCCAAGGACTGACAGGGTAAGAACCTCTTGTTGATTTATTCTCTTCATAGGGACCCCAGCTATAAAAATTGTATCCTTGGGCAAGTAAAAGAATGATCTTCTGGTGACTGATCACTGTGACATGCTTCTCATGTCTCTTGGTGATCATTAGATGTGTAGATGCAGCTTCCAAAATTTAACTCAAATTGAGAGTGCTAGAACTTTTTCTAGCGGACTTCCTCATTGTCTGTCCCCAGAGGTACACTTGGTCCTGAGTGTCCCAACGTTCCAGAAGATACTTAAGACTATCTTCTTCATCAGTTTTGGTCGGAGATGAAGGTTTTGAGTGGTCATTCACCATTTGATGGACTGTTGTCTTGATTTTAATTGTTTCCTGTACTGGTCCCTTGCTCGGGATTTGAGTAATTGGGACATAGGGTAAAACAAACATATAAATTAACATTATCTAATTGTAACATGAAACATAATTTGGGATTGGATGGTGGACATCAAAACTGATGTGCATTTAGCTAGGAGCCTTTCTGATTTCCAGTCTAAACTGGTTCCTCTACAGCTGATGTCATTGCTTCTACTTGCAGATTACGAATTGTGGAACTGACCCTTCCCAAGATCAACCTGAGGCTTCTACCTGGCATTGGGGTTCACCTGGATTTGTACACCAGAGTGGCACTTAATGGGAAGAGGTAAGCAGAATGTATGGTGAATGGTTGAGAGAGCTACATTAACATCATCTGTGATAGAAGGAAGTGGGGTTTGTGGGGAGGAGGAGGAGGAGGGAGGGAGGGAAGGAGGGAGGGAGGGAAGAAGGAAGGAAGGAAGAGAGGGAGGGAGGGAGGGAGGGAGGGAAGGAAGGAGAAGGTGGGACTGTGGGGCCCTTTGTGTTGAGCTTGGTTGTTTCATGACCCAAACTAGATAACATCATCAATGCTAGAAGGGAGTGGGATTTGTGGAGAGGAGGAGGAGGAGGAGGAGGAGGAGGAGGAGGAGGAGGAGGAGGAGGAGGAAGAGGAGGAGGAGGAGGAGGAGGAGGAGGAGGAGGAGGAGGAGGAGGAGGAGGAGGAGGAGGATTGTCCTTGGTGCTTTCTGAGCTGGGTTGTTTTCTTGTAGATGTTTTATGACCCAACTAGGGAACATCATCAGTGGTAGAAGGGAGTGGGATTTGGGAAGATGAGGAGGAGGAGGGGGGGATAGTGAGGTCCTTGGGTCTTTATGAGCTGGGTTGTTTTCTTGCAGATGTTTCACATGTTGTTCATGAAACATCTGTAACAAAACCACCAAACTCAGAGAACACCAAGGACCCCACAGATCAAACCATGGGTGACCTGGACATCGTTTTCTTTTCCCTTCTGTTTCAGCCTCCTCGGTTTCCTTGACATTGCAGTGGAGGTGAACATCACAGCCATTGTCCGTCTGACAATGGACAACATTGGCTACCCTACGTTGGTGATTGATCACTGTGACACACTCCTGGGAGGCATTAAAATTAGACTTCTTAGAGGGTGAGCATCATCAGTCCCTCCTGTGCCACCACCTTCCTGGCCACCTTCGCATTTCCATTTGTAACATTTGTTCGTGCTTATTATAGCTTGTGATATAAATACAGGTTGCTCTCACAACAACCACTCCTGCAGCAATCGTTCAAAATAACAAAAGTGCTGAACGAGTGCGATTTGTGTCTGACCTTCATAGTTGCAGCTGTCACAGTGTCCCTGTGGTCACCAGATCACAATTTATGCACTCTTTGACCAACTCGCAATTATGACGTTGCGGCGTTCCACACTCATGTGATTTCCATTTGCGACCTTTCCTGCCGGCTTCCCCCAAGCAGAGTCACTGGGGAAGCCGGCAGGATATCGCAAGTCACAGATCCTCACTTAACAGCCCCTGGTGATGCGCTTAACAAAAATAACCGGGATTGCTGGAACTGCCTTTGCAGTTGTGTTAAGTCACGCTTAATGACCACATTGTTTAACAGTAGAGTTTTCAATCCCAGTTACCATCGTTAAATAAGGACTCCTATAAGGACAATTATTTTTATTTTAGCCAACTTGAAGGCCATCTACTTATTCTGTAAAAAATTGCATATGTGCCAACAATAACTCTTCTACTGACTTCGTTACCCAACAAAACATAGTTAAAAGTGGTTTTGAATATTTAATTTAATTACTTTTATTTAATTTTTTTTTAAATTTGATTTATATGCCGCCCTTCTCCGAAGACTCAGGGCGGCTTACAATGTGCTCAGCAATAGCAAATTTTATTCGCATTTCTATGCTGCCCAATTCCCAAGGGACTCTTTAGCAACCTCTTGTGTGTTTTCACAGCTTTGTAAAGTGGCATAAAATTAGGGAAAGATTATCTGAAGCGCTCAGTTGGAGAAGGTCTTCTTGGACCACACACGGACAGCTTCCATGTGCCCCTGAAACTCTTGTCCCCTCCAAGAAGAGCTGAAGGCCATCCTCAAGGCTATCTCTCTTGGTCTTCTGAACATCAGGTCCACCATAACTTAGAGGAGGGAAATCAAGAGCCTGGAAACGCTTGTCAATTTGATGTTTCTTTCTTGGTGAGAAACCTTGAAGGTTTGTTGGAGCTAAAATGAGAAGATCTGACTCAATCAGAGTCAGCAGCTGTGCTAACGGAGATGTCACTTTGTTCCCCAAATGTTCTTCTGCCAATTTGTTAAACCGGAGATGTTTCTCACGTCCTTGTTTCATTCTTCTCTGCAGCCTTCTTCCAATTGTGGACAACTTATTAGCTCGTGTCCTTAACAGGCTCCTTCCTAATCTGGTAAGTGAGGTGATCGGTCTGGACAGGCAAGTAGCTCAGAACCATAAACCCAACAAGACTTGTGCAGCGACAAAGGCCCCAACAGGACACAAAGGCTTCCAATCACAAAACATAATGTCTATGGAGATTCTTAACCACCCAGGTCATGATTGTCCCAAAGGTGCTTTTTCAAGATACTTTCTTGTTTTTCTTTGAAGACAGATCTTACACTGGGGAAACAAAACAGCCACTTCACAAATCCATGACACAACATAGGAGAACAAACCCACCAGGACTAGATTCAGCAGTCCATCTGCATTTAAAAGACACAGGGCACTCTTTTGAAGATTAAAGGGAACATAAGGACAGGGACGGTAGACACACTGGTGCTCTTATGCACACCCCTACAGACTTCTTAGGAATGGGGTGAGATCAACAGTAGACAGTTTTAGGTTAAAGTTTTGGGGATTTGGGGATGAGACCACAGGGTCTGGTAGTGCATTCCAGGCATTAACAACTCTGTTGCTGAAGTCATATTTTCTGCAATCGAGTTTGGATTGGTTTACCATGAGTTTGTATCTATTGTGTGCTCTTGTATTGTTGTGGTTGAAGCCGAAGTAGTCATCGACAGGAAGGACATCGTAGCAGATAATTTTATGAGCTATGCTTAGGTCAGACTAAAGACGGCGAAGTTCTAAATTGTCTAAGGCCAAAATTTCAAGTCTGGTGGCATAAGGTATTTTTTTGCGAGTGGAGGAGTGGAGGACTCTTCTTGTGAAATATTTCTGGATGCGCTTAATTGTATTAATTTCATTTTATTTTTTTATTTTTTTATTTTTTATTTATATGCCGCCCTTCTCCGGAGACTCAGGGCGGCTTACAATGCGTTAAGCAATAGCCTCCATACTTTTGTATATTTATACAAAGTCAGTTTATTGCCCCCACAAACTGGGTCCTCATTTTACCTACCTTAGAAAGGAGGGAAGGCTGAGTCAACCTTGAGCCTGGTGAGAATTGAACTCGCAGTAATTGCAGGCAGCTGGAAGCTAAATACTACTTTAACAGTAGCATTAGTCTGCTGCGCCACTCAGGCTCCTTAATGTCCAATATGCAGTGAGGGTTCCAGACAGATGATCTGTATTTGAGAATTGGTCTAGCAAATGTTTTGTATGCTCTGGTTAGTAGATAGCAAATAGTTAGTAGATAGCAAAGTCCACAATTTGGATAGAGAGGACCGCTTGTTTGGAAGAGGGGTCAAAGAGGCCATCTAGGTCCAAACTGAACATCCCACTCTCAACAGATATGACATCATCTATCTCCAGTCTCCAACACAGTCCTTTCAGCAGTTCCAAGAAGGCTCCACCCCCATTTGCACCACTCAGGTGACCCTAAGGGCACAGGTAAACCCCCAAGTGGCCTCAACGACCCTCTAAAAGGATGCAAAGGACCAGCTGTCTGCAAGGAGTAGAACTCCTTCCCTTCCCCCCACCATCCAGTCAGAGCTGAAGAAGCTTCTTGGATGAGAAGTGAAATGTCTTCAAAGAAAAAATAGAAAGTTTGATTGCCTCTTGAAAAAGCACCTTTGGGACAATCACAAAACCAGGTGTGCCTGTGACCTTGACTGTCTTCTTCCATACAATGAAGAAACTAGCAAGGACAGAAGAGATGGAGATAACCATGAATAGGATGTTTTCTTTATCTCTTTTGCTAACTTTTTTCCTGACATTTGTTGCAAGAAAGTCACACACATTTTACATTTTCCAGCTTTGTCCCGTCCTTGATGTTGCCCTGGGCCTTGTTAATGACCAGCTTGGACTTGTGAATTGTGAGTTTTTGCTTTCTTCTTCCTCTATACTTTAAAGACTTTTCTTCATGGTAGAGAGACTGAAAACAGACCAGGATGTGGTGCAACATTTTTTCTCAGTTCTATATCTTTCAAACATTGGCTTCTTCTTCTTCTTCTTCTTCTTCTTCTTCTTCTTCTTCTTCTTCTTCTTCTTCTTCTCTTCTTCTTCTTCTTCTTCTTCTTCTTCTTCTCTTCTTCTTCTTCTTCTTCTTCTCTTCTTCTTCTTCTTCTTCTTCTTCTCCTCCTCCTCCTCCTCCTCCTCCTCCTCCTCCTCCTCCTCCTCCTCCTTCTTCTTCTTCTCTTCCTCCTCCTCCTGTTCTCCTTCTCTTCTCCTGCTCCTCTTTCTCCTCCTTTCCTCCTTCTTTCTCCTTCTCCTTCTCCTCTTCTCCTCCTTCTCTTCCCCTTCTCTCCTTTTCTTTCTCCTCCTTTCCTCCTTCTTCTCTTCTTCTCCTTCCCCCTCCTCCTCCTTCTCCTTCTCCTCCTCTTTCTCCTCCTCTTCCTCTTCCCCTTCTCTTTCTCCTTTTCCCCTTCTCTTTCTCCTCTCCTCCTCCTCTTTCTCTTCCTTTCCTCCTCCTTCTTCTCTTTTTTCCCCCTTCTCCTGCTCCTTCTCCTCCTTCTCCTCTTCCTTCTCCTCCTTCTCCTCCTCCTCCACTTCAAAAGAGAAATGTAGCTATAGATGGCACCTGCAAGGGCCAGACCAGTTGCTCTAAGGATAAGCAACTTGATAATGCCAGTATAAGGAGCTGTCAAGTGATGGCACCCGTTCCATGGTACCTGTTGACCTTCTCGTTCTCTACAGCTCTGGTTCCTCTGGGCATACTGGGAAGCGTCCAGTATACAGTCTCCAGCCTGCCATTGGTCACAGGACATTTCCTGGAGATTGATTTAAATGTAAGTCTTCAATGTGAGTTTGCTCTGCTGCATTGCTTCAATTGCCTTCTGGTGCCACCAACAAGACCCAGGAAGAACTGGTCTTGTGAATTACAAAATCAACTCTCATTGTAATTTCAGGGATATTGGGGTCTGCATTTTGGACTCATTAGGTAGCACTTTCAATGGAGAAAATGGCATGATGGTAATTCTAGTTCCAATAGAATTAGGCTAGTAGTAGTTCTCTTAGTAATTCTAGTTCTTTACAGCACGGCAAACCATAAAAACAACTAACCAAGATTCATCATCATTTAACGACCCCATAATCCCTTGTGGGGTGGAGCCTGGGCAACCGAATGGAGCTAGCAGAGGGTTTAATGGCCGGATGCCCTTCCTGTCACCAATGTGGAGTTTTGTTCAGCAGATATATTCTCAGTGTGCCCAGAGAGAGAAATATTTGCCTCTACCTAGGATTGAACTCACGATCTCCTGATAGTGAGGTGAGAGCGCCACCTCTAGGCCACCGCACCACTGCTCAAAAACAACTAACCAAGACTGATACTAACAAATTAACAAATTGTATGACTGCAATTATGGTGGTAAGTCAAGTACTCCTTGACTTATGACCGCAATTGAGCCCAAAATTTCTGTTGCAAAGCGAGACATTTCTTAAATGAATTTTCCCCCATTTCACGACCTTCCTTGCTACCATTGTTAAGTGAGTCACATGGTTGTTAAGTGAATCCAGCTTCCCCATTGACTTTGCTTGTCAGAAAGTTGCAAAAGAGGGATCACGTAACCCTTGCACCCTTGCAACTATCATAAATATGAGTCAGTTGCCAAGCGTCTGAATTTGGATCACGTGACCTTGGGGATGTTGCAACGGTCATAAGTGTGAAAAATGGTCATCAGTCATTTTTTCAGTGCCGTTGTAACTTTGGTCACTAAATGAACTGTTGTAAGTCAAGGACTGCCTATACTAGATTTCTAACTACTGACCCAATTAAGCTGATTGTGCAAATGCAGCCAGGGAATTTTAAACTCCTGGGCAAGATTTGCAGGTGTGGTGACAATGGCAAAAAACCAACTATCTGACAAAGTTCTCCAAGTAGGATGTCAGCAGATTACACCAATGGTAGCTACAAGGAAGATTTTTATGTTGATATTTGAGAGAAGGGGAAGCCGTGCTAGATGGCGGGAGACAGAAATATTTATTTTCTTGTTTTGCAATCCAAAATAGAAGCCAAGATCACATTACTGAGAACGGGGATGTGGTTTGCTTTGTGGAGGGCAGGTGTCCTAAATAAAAGTCCCCACCCAGGTGAGTCTCCTCCTCTGATCTCTCCTGCCAGGAGGACAGCAACTTCACCTGATCGAACAAAATTTCACGAGGAGGATTGTTGCAAATTGGGAAGTCTGGCCAAAGTCTTTCTGGGATCTTTTTATTTACTTGTCTGTTTGTTTGGATCCCACCTTTATTATTTTTAGAAATAACTCAAGGCGGTGAATATAGCCAATGCACCTTCCTACTTTCTTCACAACAACAGCTCTGTAAGGGGTTATATTGAGAGAGAGGGACAGGCCCGAAGTCACCCAGCTGGCTTTCATGCCAAGGTGGTACTAGAACTCACCATCTCCTGGTGATTGGCCCAGATTCATCCAGCTGGCTTTCATGCCTAAGGCAGAACTAGAACTCACCGTCTCCTGGTGATTAGCTCAAAGTCACCCAGCCAACTTTCATGCAAACGTGGGACTAGAACTTCTCACCTCCTGGTAAAGGACATCAGAGCAACCGTTGGAACTCAGAATCAGAGAGGTCTGTAGCAACTTTGAACAGTTGCTAAGTGAGCAGTCATACATCAAGGACCACCCACATTGTGAGTTGTGTGGGTTTGGTCAGAATAGTGCCAAAAAAGAACCAAATGTGTATAATAAATATATGTAATTTTTTTTTTTAAAAAAACTATGTTTAAATCAATCATGGTTTAACGCATCTGTCATCTCTACTGTGGTTTCCACCATGACGTCAATAAAACCAAGGGAGAGAATAAGGTAGTCCTTGAATTACGACCACAACTGAGCCCCAAATTTCTGTTGCCAGACCATTGTCAAATGAATTCCCCCCCCCCCATTTTACGCCTTTCTTGCTGTGGTTGCTAAGTGAATCACTGCAGTTGTGAAGTTAATCTCACAGTCATTAAGTGAATCTGGCTCCCCCATGGACTATGTTGGTCAGAAGGTCACAAAAGGTGATCGCATGACCCCGGACACTGCGACGGTCATAAATACGAGTCAGTGGCCAAGCGTCTGAATTTTGATCACGTGACCTTGAGGAGGCTGCAACGGTCACTAAGTGTGAAAAACGGTCAGAAGTCACATTTTTCAGTGCCGTTGCAACTTTGGTCACTAAATGAACTGTTGTAAGTCGAGGACTACCTGAAACATGGAAATGCTTCTCCATCATTTTCTGGGGTTGATCATGGTTTTATCTCTTCCTCCTAGACTGTGGTTGGGAACGTCGTCGGCCCCCTCATCGACTACCCTCTGGGCAAGCCGGAATCCCCCCGTATGCCAGCGAGGGTGCCCATGCCACCTATGCCACCCATGGAAGACACAACCAACTCTCAGCTGGGACTGTCGGTCAACTTCCTCAGCTCCGTGTTGAGCGTCCTGCAGAAACAAGGGCCCTGAACCTTGACCTCTCCGATGGGATGGTGAGTTCGCTTGGCTCTCGATGTGTTTCAAGAATCGATAGAGCAGCCTTTACCAATGACATTGGGCAGGAGGTCCAAGATCTTGGTAACCTTCAAGCCACCCACAGAAGAAGGTGGCTTCTTGGAGCGCTGAGAAATCCAGAACTTCAGCCAACTAGATCCTTGGTTTCTAAAGAGGGTATGTCTATGGACCTTCTCAGTCATCCAGGTCATGGTTGTCCCAAAGGCAACTGAATGTTCTGGTTTTTCTTTGAAGACATTTAGCTTCTCATCCAAGAAGCTTCTTCAGCAATTCTTCAGCTGAAGAAACTTCTTGGATGAGAAGCTAAACGTCTTCCAAGAAAAATCAGAAGGTCCAACTAGTTGCCTCTTGAAAAAGCGCCTTTAGGACTAAAGAGGGGTTCTTATGACCTCTGAATCCTGTAATCTGGATCCCATTTTAGTTACCTCCAAATAGTTGAGTATGTCTAGTCTAACAAAGAGAAGGATTAGGAGTGACAAGATAGCATCTTCCAATATTTGAGGGGCTGCCCCAAAGAAGAGGGAGGGTCAACCTATTCTCCAAAGCCTCTGAAGGCAGGACAAGAAGCAATGGATGGAAACCAGCCAAGGAGAGAAGCAACCTGGAACTAAGGAGAAACTTCCTAACAGTGAGGACAATTAACCAATGGAACAGCTTGCCACCAGAAGTTGTGGGTGCTTCATCATGGAGGTTTTCAAGAACAGATTGGACAACCATTTGTCTGAGGGCCTCTGGCTTGAGCAGGAGTTAGAATAGAAGATGTCCAAGGTCCCTTCCGAATCCATTATTCTGTTGTTTTTTTTTAATTTGATTTATATGCCGCCCTTCTCCGGAGACTCAGGGCGGCTTACAATGCGCTAAGCAATAGCCTTCATCCTTTTGTATATTTATACAAAGTCAGCTTATTGCCCCCCACAAACTGGGTCCTCATTTCACCTACCTTAGAAAGGATGGAAGGCTGAGTCAACCTTGAGCCTTGGAGAGATTCGAACTTACTAATTGCAGACAGCTGGAGTTAAATTACAATGCATTAGTCTGCTGAGCTATCCAGGCTCCTATTCAGTGGAAGGGCTGGCCTCCTGAAGATGTGGACACTCCATCACTGGAGGCTTTCAAAAAGAAACGGCCATTTGTCTGAAACGGTATAGGGCCGTGATGGCAAACCTATGACACGTGTGCCAGAGATGACACACAGCGCCCTCTCTGATGGTACGTGAGCCATCACCTCAATTCAGCTCTGCTGCGCATGATGGGTGGGACCGGAAGTCAGCAACTGGACCATTTCTGGCCTCTGGAGGGCCTCTCGAGAGGGGAGGCTGTTTTTGCCCTCCCCAGGCTCCTAGAAAGCTTCTGGAGCCTGGGGAGGGCGAAAAATGGGCCTATCGGGCCCACCATGCCATCACGTGCCAAAAGCGGGGGGAGTGTGTGGGGGGGGTCACGTGGGCATGCGTGGGGGAGTGGCGCATAGAATTATGGGTGTGTGCGACCCCCCACGGCTCCCCACGCTTTTGGCACACGATGGCAAAAAGGTTAGCCATCACTGGTATAGGGTCTCCTGCTATAGCAGGGGGTTGGACTAGAAGACCTCCAAGGTCCCTTCCAAGCAAATCGTATTCTACCTCTGGTAGAGAAGGGTCCTCAGAGAAAGATGGGGTTAATTCTAAAATATTACACCCCTCACTCTTCTGTCCCTAGCTGAAAAGGCTGGTAATTAAATATGCAAAACGTTCTAGCTAATTTATGAGCAAGAAGACAAGGGACGTTCGTCCTGAATCCACCCCTGGCCTGGTTGAGTTCCTGGATGAGGCTCTCCGGTAATCTTCCTGGAATTTTAGGGAAGGACGTGAGTCCCAAAGGAAAAACATTTAAAAGGGGCCTGGTGGCTCAGCAGACTGATAGCATTGTGATTAACACCAGCTGCCTGCAATTACTGCAGGTTCGAATCTCGCCAAGGCTCAAGGTTGACTCAGCCTTCCATCCTTTCTAAGGTAGGTAAATTGAG